AATAGTCATTCCTCAGTAGGATGAATGAAACTATATAGAAACACAGAATAGTCATTCCTCAGTAAGATGAATGAAACTACACAGAAACACCTACAGAAACATACAATAGTCATTCCTCAGCTGGATGAATGAAACTATATAGAAACACCTACAGAAACACAGAATAGTAATTCTTCAGTAGTATGAATGAAACTACACAAAAACACCTATAGAAACATAGAATAGTCATTCCTCAGTAGGATGAATGAAACTACACAAAAACACCTATAAAAACAAAGAATAGTCATTCCTCAGTAGGATGAATGCAACTACACAGAAACACCTATAAAAACAAAGAATAGTCACTCCTCAGTAGGATGAATGAAACTACACAAAAACACCTATAGAAACATAGAATAGTCATTCCTCAGTAGTATGAATGAAACTACACAAAAACACCTATAGAAACATAGAATAGTCATTCTTCAGTAGTATGAATGAAACTACACAAAAACACCTATAGAAACATAGAATAGTCATTCCTCAGTAGGATGAATGAAACTACAAACAAACACCTATAAAAATTTCCCATCATATTCCAAAAACTGGCTTTGGCTTTGTGGCCATCATTTTAAAATAAGTTTGTTTCTTTCAGAATTTTCATGCAGAGCTAAACAAATAAAGCCATAAAGCCATTCTTAACTTTGAACTAATACAGTAGAGAGAAGGTAGCTACTCAACCACACCCACTGTCAACTCTCGTCTGACTTAATAGTAGGATTTGACAATCACTCTTATAGCACATCTGGTATGCCGAAAAGCACAGTTTTTTTTTCAGCAACAGGTTGCAGGCCACAGATCTTGGGATTCACAGTCCAAGAAAACTAACTTGGCCCCATTTAGAATAAGTCTTCTAAAATGTGTATTACTAAAACATATATAAGCCTATGTAATGCCAGTGAATACTGCCTTACTAAGACACATCTGGACTTCCCTAAGACATTACACATTACTTAAATACATTAAATTAACTTAAGTTTCTAAAGTTTACCTTATTTAAACAGAGGGACCTATTTAAATATTTACATATTTCTTATTCAGAAACAGAGATATACCTTTCACTATTTTAAGACAATTAGACTTCTCTAAACCTTAAAGTTTTATCTCACCTACAAAGTTACTTGCACATATGCTAGCCTAAGGCCATTCAATTTTGCCTTATTTCAAGATAAGAGAATGTACCTGAGCCCTTGAAAATCAGCATGAATCTTCAATGTAGCCGAGTAGATCTGGATAACTTTACTCTGTATTTCCACATAGGCATTTACAGCAGGCTTTTCCTGTAAGAAGAATACCTTAGAATTTCTCTTACTAAAATCCATAAGTATTTATTGATTAGGCAAAATTTAATAAACAAAAAAAGTCAATTAATTTACTTTTAAAATTCATTATCTATCTAGATTGTTTTTTGAAGTTACTCAATTTTAGAATTATACTATTAATATTATAAAACATAATCCATCATTCACTTTTGATATTAAGGTACAGTTAATGACTGTCTGCATCAAATTGAAAGTGTTAACAGTCTGTAAGTGCTCTCTTTATAAGAATATATAAGACAAATTATTAATTCAATTTCATCCACTGCTAAGAAGTAGATGAAACTTTTTGGTGCGAGTGAAAGTTTTTGAAACTTAAAAGACAACAGAAATTTTATTGATCTTTCTGGAGCATGACTCAAACAAGAGCTTCAATGAGGTTTTGAGACAGCTGGTAAGCCTTCAGTTATAAAATATTTTTGTCTATAGTTGTAATTTTTTTATATATCATTACTTTGTAGATAGAAAACACTCACTGGATGTTCTTGATAGTTTTCAAAGAAAGTAATGACTGCCATCTGTTTTTCTTGTCTAGCACCTAGCAACAGCAGAGGCATATAAAAGAAGGTATGGATGACTCTAAAGAGGTTCGACTTATATTTCAAAAGCCCCTATAAAAAATATATAAAGTGTTTCATTAAAAAAATTAACAATCTGAAATATAACATTCCAAAAACCAAAAATAGCCTTCACTTTAGTGGAATATGATACTAAAACTGATCCTACTTGCAGTTCCATGTTTGATAAACAGATAATAAGAAAGAACAGTGCATACATTCAGTTTCTTTTCTTTTCAAAACTTTTACAATGGTTGCAACTCTTCAGGTGATTGTTTGAAACATAATTGCTATTGGTTCAGTAGCTCCAATGTAGAAAATGGCATGAACAATGACTTAAAATTTACCTATATGTTCAGAAGTGTAAATAACGTCCAAAAAATAATAGTCAGCCATGTATGTGAAGAGTAAGCTGTTTTCAGTTTTATCCCTCATTCGTTTATTTCTGCTGCCACTAGTATAGATGAAGCATACTACGTTAACACAAAACTACATGACTTTATCACTATATTTTCTATACTTAGAACATCTACTCAAAGATTATGTTTTACACTGTTAAAAGACCATATAAAACAGACTTGCTTTAGTTGGTACAAGTCTTAACAACCACTACACTGTACATGGACTGTAGCAAGTTTATGCAAAAACAAGAGAATTTGTTCCTGCATAATGATGCTATGCTACTGTATTTTTACAAACATAAAGTATATAAATATGATTTGGCTATTTAATAGGTAGTTTATTTATTAACTTGTTTCAACTAAAGCCAAGAATAGCTTTGAACAAGTCCTCTTAGAATAGATCTAACATAATATAAATAATTAAACACAACACTCACCGACCGATATGATGAACTCACTACTTCTCCAGTAACAGAATACAGATTTAGTTTCACCATAAACATCCCTTTAGAATAAGATTTATGGCTGTTTAGAGTTTTCATCTTTATAATTGTAATTTAATATTCAAATTATACAAAATTCTGAACTACTTAAACTATCTTTATTGTACAAATACACTAAAACTTTACACTTATCAATGAATACATATTTGTCACTTAAAAGTATTACATTTTTAATATGGAGACATTATGTTCAGTAATCTTTCCATTATCTCAAATCTTTAAAATATATTAACCCAACTTTTTATATGTTTATATCTCCACAGATAAATAATTACATTAATGAATAGCATGTACAAATATTCATTACATACATAGTGATAAAGCTCTGGCAGTGAAAAACCTCTACACACCTATAAGACAATCTACCACCTGTAAAGGTTAAAAAAGTATGTAAAACTTGAATTAAAAACTAGACTTTTTCTGAAAATAAAGTTAAGGTATATTATTATTAAAAATAATCAGTAAAGTATAAACAAATTATGTATACTTTCACATAATTTCAAAGCTTTATATCTATTATTATTAATAGATAGGTAATCATTATGGTGTAAAAACGAAGGTTTCTTTATTCTTCAACAAGATGTCAAAACAAAAATTTGCAAATATATTGATAAATACCCAAGTTTCTGTTCACTTCTGATTCTGGCATTTCTATTTCCAAATATATTTTGTAAGACTGGCCACGTTTCAGTAGCTGCCAACATAAAATGTTAATAAATAACTATCTCTTAAAGTGAATTGTGCTAATAATTACTGAACTTCTATTACAACCAATTACTATATTTTTTCTAAATTAAATTTTCTTATGAGCAAGTAAAAGTTTACTAGATTTTTAAAAACTAAAATTTTTTACTAATTTTAAACATTTAAACTTTTTAAGAATTATCACAAGAATTATCTGTTGTGAATTGGGCAGCTGAGTTACATGGAGACACTGATCAGATGTGGAAAATTTTTGAAGATAAATTTTTAAATATTCAAGGTAAACATATTCTTTATAGAAAGAAAAGGGTAGCCGCTGGTAAAAAAACTAAGTTGGCTCACAAAGAGTTTAAGAGATAAAATTTAAAAAAAAGCATAATAAATTTAAGAATTTAAATTGACTGGTATGACAGGAAATTTAGAAGATTATAGCAAATCAAGAAAATTGGGATGGAGGGTTGTCACATGAGGAGAGGCTGAAATCTCTCAAATTGTTTTCTCTTGAAAAAAGAAGAGTTAGGGGATGTGATTGAGGTGTTTAAGATTGTAAAGGGAATATCATAGTGTTCATGCATCATTTTTTTTCATATTTAACAGTGAGAATAGTAGGACTAGGGAACACAAATATAAATTTTGGCAAGGTAGGAGTCATCTTCAGCTAAGACAGTTTTATTTTTCTAACAGGGTGGTTGGCCTTTGGAATGGGTTACCTTCGGATGTTGTAGAGGCAGTAAATTGAAGTGAATTTAAGAAAAAGGCTGGCTTTAAGATTTTTTTTAATTATCTTAATTTAGTTTAGAAGATGGAGCAGCTGAGATGGACCAATAGGTCCCATACTGTCCCAAAATATTATGTTAAGTGTAATTTCATGCAAGCATAAATTCAACTCATAATTCCAAATTCTATCTTATTTTTCTATTTCATATTTTTTCTGACTCAGAATTTTGAGCACTACAAAATCTTATAGATGCTTTGCTTTATAGTCAACAATAAGATTTTTATAAACTGTTTTCTCTTTTCATTAGTTTTTACTATTAAAAATAATCTAAGTGCATCAAAGAAATTATTTACTTTCTCAAACTTACATGATCTTGCACCCGACTGACTAATGGAACTGAGGCAGATGGAAAGCTACAAACTTCCACACCACAGGATGTACTATAAAACATATTACACATGATTTTTTTTTCTGTATTGCTAATTACCTAATTATTTATAATTCTAGTTATAACTAATAATGTTTTAGTCCAATGTTGTATGCAAAGTTGCCTTATGTTTTGTATCAATCTAAATAGAAAACAAATAAATATCAACCTATGGTGCTCTATTATTCATATCAGAATCAAGCAAACAGCTATTCTGCTTGTCTTGTACATAGAAGTTACTATTGTTGTAACACTTTGACAAGTTCTTGAATAAAATCAACAAATACTGTTATGTACGTTTCCTATTTCCAGTAGTATTAGTAGAATGACTACAATTGCTCCATTGCTTTAAACTTTCAATAAAAATAAATAAAGTTATGAAAAAAGGTTAAGTTAGTGGTATGCTTTTATTTCTTATTCTCACATACAGAATAGTCACATTTTTGTAAAAATAACTGAATAAATGATCACTATATTAGATGTTGAGTTTGAGAGTTTAATCATCTTGTTTGTAATAAATTTTAAATAACAAAACACTATTTTGCATCTGGAAGAATGTTTCATGAAAATACACTTGGCACTGTTAACAATACCTTATCACTTATAAAATTGCATTTAAATAAATTTACTGTTGTTATAAATATAAAAGCTATATCACTTTATCAGATATTGATATGGTGTTGAAAAATTTAAACTTACTCAAACTGCAGATGAACAGGACGAACATGGGTAACAGCAGGTATGTACGAATAATAAAACGCTCCATAGAAAAACACCGCTAACCAGATAATAACAGAAAATGTTAAGCTTATAAAAACTATTTGATAAATAAAAAATTTTATATTTTGTGAGGTAGCTCTTTGCAAAACAAAGCTTGCGACAGTTAGTAAAGCAGTAATCATACTTAAAACTTTAGTTTATGTACTGAAATAATCCAGTGTGGCAAAATGAAAACTTTATGTCTTAAATTTTAATATTTAAAAGATTTAATAGCTTAATTAAGGAATGTATTTATATACACTGGTATATATCAACACCCTTCTGTCAAAATCGAAACACTTTAAAAACTTCGTTTTCGCCCTCTGCTGTTAAGATAAATTTATTATACAAATTTAAAAACCATAAGAATGATAAATCTTCAGTGAATTAACGTATATACGAAGAAAAAACGTACGATTCATTGTAGTTATTTTAATTTTTTTCCTTGGGTAGGAAAAAGTTCATTGTCTGATGATTTTTTTATTTGATTTTGCGAAAATACATTTCATTATTGACTTTTAGATTTTACTAAGATTGGGATCAAATTTTCAGCGTCGAATTTTTAATAGGTCTTGTTCTTATCCTTTTAGTGCGTCATAAAAATGAATATATGAAAATAACTGGTTTGGTATGATAGCTGTGATAAGAATTAACAAAATAAACTGCTGTAAACTAATATCTTCATTAAAGAAAAACAGCTTGTCGGGAGCGTGGTATAGGTCTCTACAATGCGCTAGCTTTCCTTGTAGTTAATATATATATATTTAATGTTGTAATTTGTATGTTAGCTAGAGAACGCATGGTGTTAAAATAGACCTAGAAAGCCCAGTAGCAAGAGGGGGGGGGGGGGCAAGGGGCAGTCTTCTGGTCTATAAAGCCTATTAATTAATAATTATGCCCTCCCCTAGGATATAACGCAACTTTCC